AACAGGCCCTCTCACATTCCCTTTTTCAACCAGGTTCCACCCCTTTTGTTTCCCTCCCCATATTTTTATATTATTCAAGGGAACACAAAATGAAAGGGGTCATACAGAAATTGGGGGAAATGGGAAGCATGCGGGTTTGGCCAAGGGGGGAAAGGCAGGTTTTGCCCGGGTATCAACCTTCCCGGAGAGGCCCCTTTTTATGAAATTCTGGAGAAAAAATTTGGGATGAACATATATAAAAAAGGGGTTCTTTTTCCTCTCAAAGAGGTGTTTTGATACTGAAAGATTCTTAAACCAACCCTCCTTGGAAACATTTTTTAAACCCTCCACAATTTTGCTTCAATGTCATACACCTTTAACCCCCTCTTTAAATTTCTAGGGTAAAAACGCCCGTTTTTTCATAAAAGCCAACCACGAAAATTTTCACCCCCCAAGTATCAAAACACACCATTTCCCTTTTTCTAATTCTTTTAAATAAAATAAACTTCACCTCTTTTTATTAATATTCTCACTTAATGGGTGGTCAATGTCACTCAATCTAAGAAAAATTGGGAAAACTTTTTCCCTAGGTAAATGTATGGTCCCATGGTTTCGTCCTTCCCCTGAATTAAAAAATAAACCTAAAAAAAAGGGAAGGAAAAAACATACATATAAAATTTTGCTTTAAAAAACTTATTTAAAACCCAAAAAATGTCAATTTTGGCTGGGGAAAAAGGGTACCCCATGTGGGGTTTAAAGGGCCATATCTTCAGGAAACTTAGCAGGACTCAACAACCCAGTTTTTCCAAAATTTTTTGGGGGGGGCAACAACAATACTTTTTGCAGTTTTAAAGCTGAACCGATGGTAAAAAATTTTTGATTTAGCAAAAAGTTTTTATAAAGAAAACCCAAATTTTAAAAAAAAAATTCTATCATTTCCTTTTTTTTTTTTGGGGGGGGGGGGTTTTTTTTTTTTAAACACACTGGCTTCTCCCATGAGGCAAGGGGGACCCAAAAAAGAAAAAGCTTTCACCATCATTTACACTATTTTTAACTATCACTGGGCTTTGGGAAAATTTTTTTTAAACACTCGGGGTATTTCCCCCCGAGCAGGGGGACCCAAAAAGAAAGAAAAAACCCAAAAAGAAAAAACTTTCATCATCATTTAAAAACTTTCACCTCCCTCATACATAATCCACTGTTTTTTTCAGAGGGATCTAGATACAACAGTTTTAAAAACCTTTACAAAGATTTATAAATGTCCCTCCAAACAACCAAATTTCCCAAAACCCCCCCTTTAAGGGGAAGCTTGGGACTTCCCCCCTCCAGGAATCAAAAAGCTAAAACCCGACAAGGCTTTATTTTTAAATAAATTTAAAAAAAAAAAGACATTTTTCTTACACAGAAACGATGGTCTTGCTTTGTTTTTGGAACTTTTTCTGACAGGTGGGTTTGAATCAATGTTTTGATTCTAAATCTGATGATATTTAGTTTTAAAAAAGTTGGGCGGGTTTCTTATCAATTCTACAGCACTGGTGTAGGTGTACAAATATGGGTTCATGTAACTGCAAAGAAAGAAAGATTTTTTTTAAAAAAAATACAGTTATTGTTGAAAACCAAAAAAATTCAAAAATTTTTTTTCAAAGACCCCGACAAGGGGGCAATTCAAGGTAAGAAATAAAGGAGGGAGCAGGGAAAAATTTGAAATCAATTGTCCCCTGGATTTGGTTACTTTTTCAAAAAAAAAAAAAAAAAAAAAAAAAGCAGGTTTGCTTAAAAATTTTGATTTAAAGTATAACTTTACCATGGTTACCCTGGCTTCATAAGTACAAATTTCCAGGTTAGTTTTTTCATCCTCTGGGAATATAATAATACTTTTTTAACAATATTCTTGTCTCAAATAACCACAACTCTTTTTCCCCCCAATCAAGAGACAAACCAAACGATTTCCTTATAAATGAGCTAAACATTTAGAATAATTTTTTTTTTTTTTTTTTTTTTCAACAAGTCGGCCGTCTCCCACCGGGGCGGGGCCCCAAAAAAAGAAAAAAATCCCCAAAAAAAAAAATACTTTCACATCATTCAAACCTTTCACCACACTCGACATTATCACTTTTTTTCCCAGAGGTGCCAAATACAACAGTCTAGAACAAAAAAACATATAAAGAACAAACATATCCCTCCAAACTGCCAATACCCCAAACCCCCCCTTTAAAGTGCGGCTTGTCTTCCCCTTTTTCCCCAATCAAGTCCACTAATGAAAAAAACCCGGGTTTTCCCTGAATCCCTTCACAAATATACCCTGCTCACACTCCAACAATCGTCAGGCCCCAAGTACCATTCGTCCCATTCACCCTACTAACACCCACGCACGCTTCGGGAAGTCCAACCCCCTTACCCCAAAACCCCTTTACCCCCTCTCTCCAACCCTTTCGGGGACGCCCCCTACCCCCCTTTCCCTTCCCCTAAAATTTTATATGCTTTCCTGTCTTCTAGGGGATCCTTCTCTCAAAATGCCCCAAACCACCTCAACAACCCCTCTTCTGCCCTCTGACTAATACTTTTATAACTCCACACCTTCTCCTAATTTCCACACTCCGAATTTTCAGCATAATATTTACACCACACATTGCCCTTAAACAGGACATCTCCGCTGCCTCCAACGCGGCTCCTCGCTGCTGCATTTACACCCAAGCTTCACGACCCATATAAGAGTGTTGTACTACTATACTTTCATACATCCCTTCTTTGCCTCCATAGATAACGTTTTTTGACTCACATATACCTCAACGCACCACTCACCTGTTCCCCTCATCAATTCTATGATTAACCTCATCCTTCATAATCCATCCGCCGACACGTCAACTCCCAAGTATCTGAAAACATTCACTTCTTCCATACTCCTCCTCCCCAATTTGATATCCCAATTTTTCTTTATCTAAATCATATGACACCCTCATCACTTACTCTTTTCCTATGTTCACTTTCAACTTTCTACCTTTTACACCCTTTTCCTAACCAAACCATCACAACCTTTGCAATTTTTCTTTTGATCTCCCATAAGCACAGTATCATCAGCAAAAGTAACTGGTGGCAATCCCATTTTGAAATTTAGATTTTTTTTTTTCCCCCTAATTTAAATCCACCCCTCTCCCAAACACCCGACATATACTTCCTTTACAACCCCATCGATAAATATATTAAACAACCATGGTGACATTTACACATCCCTGCTAAGACCACTTTTAACGCGGGAATAGCTCCCTCTCTTCTACACACCCCTTAAAACCCCTTGGAAAAGCCTCACTATCCTCATAAAAACTCTTTACAGCATTTAATAAACTACCACCTATCCATATACTTGCAACATCTGCCACATTGCTCCCTCTATCCACTCTACTCATATGCCTTTTCTAAAATCCATAAATGCAATAAAACTTCCCTATCTTTATCTAAATAACTGTTCACTATAAGCTTCCATGTAAACACCTGAGCTACACATCCCCTACCCTCTCTAAAACCTCCTTGCTCATCCGCAATCCTACATTCTGTCTTACCTCTAATTCTTGCAATTATAACCTACCGTAACACTTTTCCCTGGTAGACTCAGTAACTTATAATCCACTTAAAATTTTTAATCTCTTTGGTCCCCCTTTCCCTTTATATATAGGACTATACATGCTCTCTGCCAATCCCTAGGTACACTTCCCCTCTTTCCCATACATTTATTAAACAAAAGTACCAACCACTCCAACACTATATCCCCCCCTGCTTTTAACATAGAAATAATAATAAAGGTAATAATGTTAAGGTGGAAAGTATTGAAAGTGAACAATAGAAAAGAGTAAGGTGATGAGGGTGTCAAATGATTTAGATAAAGAAAAATGGATATTAACATTGGAGAGAGGGAGTATGGAAGAAGCGAATGTTTTTCCAGATATTTTGGAGTTGACTTGTCAGTGGATGGTTAAAGAATGATGAGGTTAAACACAGAACTGATGAGGAAAAAGGTGATTGGAGCACTGAAAGGTACATATGGAGACAAAAAACGTTATCTATGGAGGCAAAAGATAGGGAATGTATGAAAGTATAGTGGATATCCAACTCTCTTATATGGATGTGAGCTTGGTAGTAAATGCTGGCAGCGAGTTGTGGTTGGAGCAGTGGAGATGCCTATCTACGGGCAATGTGTTGGTGAAATATGCAAAAATTTGGAGTGTGGAAATAGAGAAGGTGTGGAGTTCAAAAATAATAGTCAGAGGGCATAAGAGGTTGTTGAGGTGGTATTGGTCATTTAGAGGAGAATGGATCAAAGTCTAGAAAGTACTTGGAGGAGCATATAGAAAATGTAGGGAAGGAAGAACGGGAGGGGTCGTCCTCGAAAAGGTTGGAGGGAGGTGGTCAAGGAAGGTTTATTGCGAGGGCATGGACTTTCCAGCAAGTAGTGCGTGTCATGGTAGATAGAGTGAAAATGGAACTATGGTATTTGGGACCTAACGTTGTATGGATTGTGAGCAGGGAAATCTTTAGTGAAGGGATTCAGGGAAACCGGTTATTTTTATATAGTCAGACTTGAGTCCTGGAAATGGGAAGTACAATGCCTGCACTTTAAAGGAGGGGTTTGGGATATTGGCAGTTTGGAGGGACATGTTGTGTATCTTTATACGTATATGCTTCTAAACTGTTGTATTCTGAGCACCTTTGCAAAAAACGATGATCATGTGTGAGTGAGGTGAAAGTGTTGAATAATGATGAAAGTATTTTCTTTTGGGGGATTTTCTTCCTTTTTGGGTCACCCTGCCTCGGTGGGAGACGGCCAACTTGCTAAAATAAAAAAAAATATATATGTATTCATTAATAGATCAAACTATGACAACAGAAGGTAAGTTTTTGGGAGGTGCCAATTTTCCATCCAGAATCTTAGGTCTCACCAAATTATGTATTACTACCAATGTTTTCTCTTTCAACAACAATGAATTCTTCAGTGAGAAATTTGGTTGCTTGCTAATCAATACATGGAATACTAAGAAATTACCATCCTTCCAACATCAAACCATGAGTCATAATCTGGTACAGATACATTGATGATGTCTTCACCATACAGGATGACAGCTGGGGCAGTTTTGACATCAATTCCTATAGCACTTTAACTGATTTTTCTAATAAAATCACACAAAGCAACTGGACTGTTCTCTCTGGAAGGAAAAATGCTTGTGCTTGGTCTCTAACTTGCACACTGCTAACAACTATGGGAAGGTATAGGTGCAAATAAAGAATAGTATGTCAACATTCATGGTGCAAGATTCTTCAGCATTCAACCAGTATATATCAGAGATGCTACCAAAATGAAGCTAGAAGTTTTCACAAAGCTGGCCAGCTTTCTTCTACAAGTTAGTCAGGTTGTGATAGCTTTGTAGGCCTGTATGCTGATTTCTCTGTGTTTAATATTAAGGTTTAAAATAAAATTGTGGTTATTACCGAGAGCAATTGGCAGTCGGGTGAACTTAATATCGTGCTCCCGTGAACGCTGCCCACAGGGGTCCACAAACACTGCAAATTCATGGAAGCACAGCAAGTATTCCTCATACTTCCCAGGTTTGGAAACCTGAAAGGAAAACAGCAATGAAACATCAAAGACAAAATTATTTAAGGTAAATTACCTGTTTTATATTTCTAGTTTACATTCCTTCTATTACACATCCTTCCAGATTCCCTTACTAATGTCTCCACCTTCTCAGAATCTCCCAGAAATACTTACCTTCACACATGTATTATCTTTCTTGGCATCTATCAAAAACTGACAAAGCAGTCACTTCACTTGTAATCTAATTACTGTATATAAAATAAATTATAAAGTATAAAATAATAAATATTCTACTACATCATCCCCTCAGGGAAGGTTCCTTGATGCTGGTGAGGGGCTCTTGAACTAGGGAATTGGATCTGTGCTCCAGTTACCTGAATTACTGCCTGAATACCTTCCATCACCCCCCTTCCCCCATAGGTGCTGTATAATCCCTATGGGTTTAGCACTCCCCCATGATTCTAATAATCTACTACATCACTACATCAGTCAATTTCTACCAAGGTGGTGAAGAATATAACACATTCACCATCATTCATCCAATAATTACCTGTATTATTGCAACTGGGAATGAAGCCATTTGAGCTGATCCATAAATAGCATAGGCAAGGGAAGTATCAGATGCATCAAGAAATTCTGGAAAGAAGTCATCATTATTTCACCAATATTACAATCATTTAAGAATTTATTTCAATGAAACTTCAGCAAGAGGAATAAAACAATCACACAATTGGTGGATAATTCGTCAAAGGGTACAAATTAACCTGGTCAGTGACCCTGTGAAGTTACTCCCTCAATACACCTATGTTTTTCATACACATTTTTGTCTAGAAGTATATAGGTTATAGTTTCAAAAGGAATACTGTAATACCTTTAATAGCAAGGGTTTTGAGGTCAGCTTCATAAAATTTCTCTGCTCCAATGATAAGAGAAGACTGGTTAAAGTGTAAACAACAACATGGCTCCTGGGTACTGAACTGCTGACATACTGAAAACTTCCCTTCCAAGTTGTTCCAAAGCAGGATGCTGTTAATATAATAAAATCTATAAATAAGTCACAAATACCTGGCACAAAATAGACATATTAACATCAATGCATTCCTATTTAATTTTTTAAAATACACATTTATCTGAACTGACTTCCTAGTTCAGCACCATAGTTTGGAACATTGTTCCAGATTATGGAACTGAACTCTTCTCTATGCTGAAGGACTGACCACCTTAAAATTACTTGAAGGTTGATGGACTAACTATATCATCTTTACATCCCCACTACTTCTGCTGTCTTTTCTGTATTCGACTGAAGAAGCCTATTGTGTAAGTGAAACATTTCAACAATAAAGATACCAAACTGTTGCACACGATGTTTTGCTCGTCTAAATTACCGATGCATAATATAAAATAAACCTGGTTAAAATATATACAAATTTCTCACTACACTACTGTATTTCTTTTGTTTGCACTAAAATACTTTGAGATACAGCACCTTTACAGAAGAAACTTGTTGGAAATTTTTATTTTACTAAGCAAAGAAATTATTTGTGATTCAAAGATATTTATACTAATTTATATATTCATTGCATGCTCCAAAAAAAAAGTCAAAGTACAGTGGACCCCCGGTTAACGATATTTTTTCACTCCAGAAGTATGTTCAGGTGCCAGTACTGACCGAATTTGTTCCCATAAGGAATATTGTGAAGTAGATTAGTCCATTTCAGACCCCCAAACATACACGTACAAACGCACTTACATAAATACACTTACATAATTGGTCGCATTCGGAGGTGATCGTTATGTGGGGGTCCACTGTATATAAAAGTAAAGAGTTACATAGTACATTAGAAAATAAATAATAATAACACCAAACCTTATTCGATCTGTGGCAGCCGCACACACATACACTTCTCCAGTTTTTGTACAACCTGAAGCTAGGAGATGACAGCCCTGCAGTTTTTCCACATGTGCAGGACTCAGACTTGGTTTTGTCAATTGCATGGCTTCTGCTGTTAGTGTGAGAGATCCGACATCATTCTCGAACACCTTATTATCTTTTCCTACAACAAAATAGATACAAATCAGATATGGTTTGATCACACATCTCACAAATGAATTTTGTTCATTAACCCTAAAAAGTAAATGTCCCTCTCTTTCCTAGCCCCATCTAGCTTCCTTGATTTTCCTTCCTTTTATATTTCCTTCATAACTCCCACTTTTGGTCTGTATCCCCATTCCTCCTTTATTCCTTGCACACTCTCAGGCATCAGCCATTCTTGACCACCAGCCTTCCCCATCTGTTTGGGTGCCATCCACCCCACTAACACATTTTCAGTCATGTGAGGCCCTTCCATATGAACTATACAGGTGACGGGGTGGGTATTGAAAACTTTCAAAACAAGCGAAATAATGCCGATGGTGACACTCTTCAAATCACTAGTGCTCCCTCACTTAGAATATTGCTCAGTGCTGACAGCCCCGTTCCAAGCAGGAGAAATATCGGAGCTGGAACAAATACAGAGATCGTTTACGGCTCTCATTAAGCCAGTAAAGCACCTAGACTACTGAGAATGCCTTCAAGTCTTGAACATGTACTCACTGGAGTGGAGGAGAGATACATGATAATATATACAGTGGACCCCAGGATTATGTCATCATTGGTACGTAATATTAGGAACAAATAACGTTTTTTCGTCAAAATATTGGCTTGGTGATTGTCACTGAACTCGGTGTAAGTCATTCGTCCGGAAAGTGTCCGCATGGCCCTGACACTCCATGTACAGCCAGTGTGCCATTTTTTATCAGCCAATGAGGATGATCCCACGCGTTCACAGGATATATTTTGTATTACTCCATTCTTTTTAGTTCTTGCAACTGCTAAATAAGCCACCATGGGCCCAAAGAAAGTTCCTAGTGCCAGCCAGCCAGAGAGGGGAGAACGTGCCTTTTTCAGTGATTCTGCAATATGTACGATACTAAAGCATCAGGAGTTGATAAAGGCTATAACGCCAGCCAGCGATAAAGTGTAGCACTAACAGTGTAGCAATTAAGTTAAGCGATTGATCAATAGAAAAAGGACAGCACGAAACTGACTCCTCCAATGTTGTTGGAAGTACATAGGGCTACTGACTTAACACTGCTGCCACCTTCACCACTACTATGTAAGGCTTATTTTTCAGTGGCCCTTATACACCTAACAAACAACATACAACTACTCGTGACATTCTTAATGGCATATTTTATTCATTCTAGAGTATATATCATGCTTCTATGTTATTAATATTGTTTATTATGTCATATTAGATGGATTGTGCTAAATAAATAAGCCGTAGAGCTGATATTAGTGTCATATTGAAGAACTATCTTGTCCTATCTCCCAACACAATTCCTAACATATGCCAGAAACAGACCTCTCTGGAACACTTTTGAGCAACAGGGGTCTAGTGACTCTCAAGCTGGTCCTAAAGGCATTAAAAACAAAGAAGGGAAGTAACCCAGGATAAGGACTTGGTACCTGAAGTCTATATGGAAAGGGATTCCCCTTCCAAACAATTGTAAACTCCTCCATCCTCTCCCCTCCTCCTGTCTTCCATATATCACCATGTCTTCAATAAAGGCAAGTGTGATGTATTATTGTTTTATTCTTCATGCATCAGTGTTTTCTGTGTAGGTAAATGTATATTTCATGTAGAAAACATTTTCTTTAATATTTTTGGGTGTCTGAAACGGATTAATTGGATTTCCATTATTTCTTATGGGGAAAATTAATTTGGAATTCGTAAGATTCAGGTTTAGTCACTCTCTCTGGAACGGATTAATTACGAAAACCGGGGGTCCACTGTACTTGGAAAGTACTCGGGGGCCTGGTCCCAAATCTGCACACTGCCGTAACAACATATTGGATTGAGAGATATGGGAGGAAGTGCAAAATAAACCCAGTGAAGAGCAGGGGTGTGGTGGGGACAATAAGGGAACACTGTATCAACATCTGGGGTCCCAGACTATTCAACATCTTACCAGAAGATATCAGAAACATGGCTGGAACAAGTGTAGAAGCCTTCAAGAGAAAACTGGACAAGTATCTTCACCAGGTGCTAGTTCAACCAGGTTGTGATGGATATATGGGGCAGTAGGCCACAGCAGCAACAGCCTGGTTGGCCAGGTAAGCACCAGATGAGCCTGGCCCATGGCCGGGCTCAGAGAGCAGACAAACTCTCGAAACTCTTCAATGGTATATACAGTAAATCCTCATAAAAAATATTAAGACTATATAGATCAATTTTGTCTCAGCCTGACAGAAAACAATGATCCCTTTATTCTGTGATGTACTTGGAAAAACCAGATAGTACATTCCACATGCATGGAAGCATATGGAAGTGTGAGTTTCATCCCCGTCCTCCAACCTAAGTCGGGTCTAAGGGTCGAGTGTGTGGAGAGGTACAACACCACCTGTTGCTCATGCCACCTACACATGCCTTCTGAGAATGTTGCATGCCTTACTCAGTGTGTGTTTCAAATTATTTTAAATCTTTTTCATAACCTCATTTTGTCTCTGGATACTAACTATGGCACCTAGGGTTACCAGGTACTAGTGATGCTGGGGGTATGATTCAGACTGCCTGCACTTTTTTTGCCTGAGAAAATCCACTGTCCATACAATTAGAGACAAAGAGAAGAAAATGACAGAATGTACAGTAAGTAATGTAGACTGTGACATGATGGAAAAAACATCATAGAGGTCAGTACAGCTAAACAAGACAGTTATGTTACTAAATGTGTGAAGTGAAGAGACAATAACATAACTAAATACAGTACAGTCTCTCCTCACTTAGTGACGTACTCGTTTACCAATGACTCGGACTTATGATGGGCTCTATGACCAGTATGCATACCTAAATAATGTTTATTAGAGCTGATTTCCTCTATTCTGTTTATTACAGTATACAGTACATTACTGTATAAACATTTAAAAATATACCAGAAATATTATAAATGGTGAAAAGGTGACATTAAAACAATATCAAAGATAGTTGACACAAACCCACTACCACTTTAGTATGCTCCTCACTTAGTGACGAATTCATTTACCAACGTGATCTGAGGAACGAAACTCTATCGTTAAGTGAGGAGAGGCTGTACTGTAAACCTAAAATTGTTCAAAATTAATGAAAATAACTTATCTGCTAAGATACTGGAGTCTGGTAGATAAGACACATAGGCAACATTTAGGCAACTTTATTCCGAAACGTTTCGCCTACACAGTAGACTTCTTCAGTTGAGTACAGAAAGTAGGCAGGAGCAGTAGAGATGTGAAGACGATGTGATCAGTCGCTTGATCTTCAGACTTTGGAACAGAACTTCTCCAGGCTGAGGGACTGACAACCTCAAATCTACGACTTCAAGGGTGATGGACTGATTACATCGTCTTCACATCTCTACTGCTCCTGCCTACTTTCTGTACTCAACTGAAGAAGTCTACTGTGTAGGCGAAACGTTTCGGAATAAAGTTGCCTAAATGTTGCCTATGTGTCTTATCTACCAACCTGTCGGTATTGTATACCATTTGATAATCATACTGGAGTCTAATATTTAGTGAGCTGTTAATACAAAGTCCAGGACTATTATTGTTTACCAGCAATAAAGAGAGCTACTCCAGCACCATCCAAAAGCAGAATTTGATGAACAGCTGTGAGGCCATCAATGCGTGATCGAGATTTCAGTTTTCCAGTTTTATCTGCTTCAAATGAATACAATCCCTCTGCTGCTCCAATCAGAACTGTCTGTGAAAAATAAGAATATAAATAAATAAATAGTCATACACAATGTATATATATTTTTTTTAACAACAGCCATTTCCCACTGAGGCAGGGTGACCCAGAAAAGAAGAAACACTTTCACCATCACTCACTCCATCATTGTTTTGCCAGAGGTATGCTGAATCAGCAACAGGTATGCTGATACTACAGCTAAAAAGCTGCAGCATGTCTCCACCCCTCCTTCTGAGTGCAGGCACTCTACTTCCTACCACAATAATAATTTATTTAAATAAATAAATACCCATAAATGTAAGGGCAAGGACTGTCCACAATTTCTTCTTGTTTATATGCATGTATGCTGAAGCAATGAGACAACTACGTTGTGGATTAAAGCAGATATTAGGAAGATTTCATGGTAACAGTTAATTTTTTTTTTTTCGACTAGTCCGGCAGATACAGCGCAGTTAAGGGATGAGAAAGAATCACGCTTTGAAAAGAAATTGTTCTTCATATTCACTTCACACTTGTATCTCGCACTTATCAAAATTTGATAATGTGCGAGTGTGAAAGTGTTGAATAATGATAAAGTGATTTCTTTTTGGCATTTTCTTTCTTTTTTCGGGTACCCCTGCCTCAGTGGGATGACGGCCGACTTGTTGAAAAAAAAAATCCAAAAAAAAAAAAAATGTCTACAAGACTGGGTACACAGTATTTTCTTCCATTTCTTGATATGTCCATTGTTATGCTGAGCATGAGACAAATTTAAAGTAGGATTAAAACTAAACAACAAACTTTATTTCTTTATACAGTTTACAATTTTTTTTTTTTTCACCAAGTCGGCCGTCTCCCACCGAGGCAGGGTGACCCAAAAAAGAAAGAAAATCCCCAAAAAGAAAATACTTTCATCATCATTCAACACTTTCACCACACTCGCACATTATCACTATTTTTGCAGAGATGCTCAGAACACAACAGTTTAGAAGCATATACGTATAAAGATACACAACATATCCCTCCAAACTGCCAATATCCCAAACCCCTCCTTTAAAGTGCAGGCATTGTACTTCCCATTTCCAGGACTCAAGTCCGACTATATGAAAATAACCAGTTTACCTGAATCCCTTCACTAAATATTACCCTGCTTACATTTCAACAGATCGTCAGGTCCCAAGTACCATTCGTCTCCATTCACTCCTATCTAACGCGCTCACGCACGTTTGCTGGAAGTCCAAGCCCCTCGCCCACAAAACCTCCTTTACCCCCTCTCTCCAACCCTTTCGAGGACGACCCCTACCCCGCCTTCCTTCCCCTATAGATTTATATGTTTTCCATGTCATTCTACTCTGATTCTACTTTGTTTACATACAATAACATGTTAAGCACAAAAGAAACCCACCATTTGATACACATCTATTTTGATTACAAGTTTAATACAACTTGTGTATCCAGATATATAGAATATTAAGTCATTATTTAAAGAACATTAACACTGTTAATTAAAGAATATTAACAGCTGTTAACTAAAGAATATTAACAGTTGTTAATTAAAGACAAAACAATTTACCACCTACTCTTTTATTAAGGTAGACAAGTGTGTTGACATCAAGTGGATTAGGGTTTTCCATGGAGAGAAGAGTATTGAGATGGATGTAGTCTGCCTGGTTGTCTTCCTCTCCAGTTTTCTTCAGTAGCTGTTGGAACAAAATCAATTTTTCAATTACTATAGGAAATGTTCTTAAAAACATGACAAAATTTGCATATTTACTGAGAAGTGCTAAACCCATAAGGGTTTTACAGAGCATCAAGTTACCCCTCTTGAGTCATTATATATGAAAAAGTCCGACCATAATTTTTTTACCATACTAGTCATCTCCCACTGAGGCAAGGTGACAAGGAACACTTTCACCATCATTCACACCATTACTGTCTTTCCAGAGGTGAATAGATATAGCAATAATTGATCTATAGTAATTTGTCCTCACAATGAACTACTCACAGCTATTAATAATAGTGACACAGACTTTATCCTGAGAGAAATGTTAAAAATTTTACATAAACTACTACACAATTTGTTCATGGGGACATACATGTACCTGAGCTACAATGCTGTCAAGTGCTGATGCCCACAACTGTTTCTCCTCAAAATTTGTAGTCATAAAGTAGTGAGACTCCAATTGTCGAGGGGCATCCTTTGATCGAATTTCAATCTGTAAATTTGATAAGACAATATATAAATATATACAAGTTCCACAACTGCTACTTTCCTTAAGTCTTGGTTTCTGTAAGTACAGTGAAAACCTCTTGCTATCAGTACATGTCCATCCTTGGCCACATATGGACTGTTATAGCTAATTTTGGTATATAGGTAAGGTTCTCACCCAAACATGGCCTTCAATTTCTGAATCCATGTTGACATTATGTGTTGAATTTATTCCTTGACATGTGTTTATCTAATACCCACAATATTTTCTAGAAAATGGTACACTCGTTACACTCATCTGAAATTTAAGGGCTAATGCCTCCCTTCTTTTTCAAGAGTTATATCATGGTTTCCACCCTCAATTTGTAATAAAGTTGGTAGAATTACCGACAATATGTAAAGTAATGGCTTGATAAAGCTCCTGGAGAGTGAAACATTGCCACAATAAAATGTCACATTAGTTGCACTTGTGTCCTTTTACTTTACACCCTCAATTTGTCTGAAAATTAATCCATCACCGATGATTTATTAAAAACCCATGTAAGTGGCCTGCACTGTGGCAGTGATGAGAATATTTAGCTTGCAGTGCAAGTCACTGATATCCAAGAAAGGAGGACATAATGGTAGATGATGGGAGACAAACACTGTCAATCTCAGCTCAATACAAGCCTAACAAATATGCTTTATCTTTAGCACAACTCTGTACTATACTTTTTAACAAATAATCTTTGCTGAATTATAAAACATGATTTGACCCCATGATAAAAACCACACTGGGTCTATGAAAACCTCCCAAGATAAAGGCAACATACAAAAGTAGCTACACACTTTCCCTCAAGTGCAACTGGTCACCCACCAAAAAGATGTACAAGTATTTGTGTCAATAAGCGGGAGAATGTAGAGGTGCCACTATAGTAGTAATTGTTATCCTACTTTCCGCCCTTATAACTAGAGCTAATGCAAGTTGTTAATACTTGAACAATGAAGTGTCATGACAAACCTTAAGAATGTAAGGAAGATCCACACTACTAATGCTGGGTAACTCAGACCTTGGAACAGCTGACATTACTCTGGTCAAGCAGTCAGGTTGGGAAAGCTTGACAATTATTTGAGGTTCAGTACCAGCACGAGGCTCACTGTCATACACTAACACGTCTTCTTTTTTCAGACGAACAAAACGACTCTCCCAGCAAGCTTTGCCTGCCCTATAAAAAAAAATTTTTTTTTAGAGCAATGTATTATGGGCATATCTACCTAGTAATACAGCCAGAATACCAAATCAAATGGTCTTCATAGTTCTTCCATCTCATAACCTTCAAGCTGGTGCTATGATACTGATAAATGGCCCTCACTCCAAAGAACTGGAGCTACCTTGCTCTTCCCTAGACCAAACCTTAATACCTTCCATTAAAAAGAGGCTGTATAACCCATATAGGTTTAGCACTTCCCCTGAATAATTTATCAATCTGTCAGACCATGTACTAGACCAAGATGCCTTTACCAGCATTATGGCACCCTCCTTGAAGGTATTACGAACAGAAACTCATAAATAATCAAAGCATGCAGTGAACTAACTTACCTAGGCATCTTAAGCCATCCTTCGAGCAACACCCCTGAGTCAGACAGGCTTCCAGCCATCTTTTCAGGAGAGTCTGAAGTCCAGCCCTTGGAGTAGTGTTCTGCAAACTGAACTGGTAGCCCACAAGTGGATGGCAACTCCTGAGAGCACTGTTAAACATGTAAAAGAACAAAATAAACAATACATTTCTATTGGTTTCAAATTAAACTTTAAGTATTATTGTTTGACAATTGTAATCATCATCTTAGTATAAAACATGTATAAACATTTAGCCCACAATTGCATTTTTTAACACACTGGCCGCCTCCCGCTGAAGTAGATACACAAACTCGTGTCTCACTTGTAAGGGGTCGTTAGTTAGAGGTTCACGAGGCTTTAAAAAAAAAAATTGCAGTTTACTTTATTTTCAAGAAAAAATGTGACAAATGGAGCAATTTACACAAATACCTTAATGTGAGCAATAGTGCCACATTCACAACATCTAGCAGCATTACGAGCGAAGGGAATACTTTCCAAACAACCAACACATCGAACAGCTCGCATCTGTAGTCCTGACTGCCATCTGCAATGTTAATTTATATTTGCACTAATAATGGAAAATAAGAACAATGAATGCAAGAATTAGGGCATGTTATATTAAGAGAACAGAAAAAAAGGGGAGGGAGAAAGAAAAAAAAAAAATGAACACATTGTAATATTTCTTGTTCAGCTTATTACATACATATTTCCTTATAGTGTTTTCTTGTCTTTTCTTGGTAGCATCACTTCATGCTTCATGTCATTTTTCTTTGATGTGATTGTGCAGCAGCTGCAATTATCTTTGCTATGACAGCTATGTCTATTACTAATTTTTTTCACTGCTGCTCTTCTGATTTTAATTTCTAACTTTTCTATCAGCTTTCCTGTTATCAAACATGAAATGCATTCTGCATTTCACTTCCTCCATACTCCCTCTTTCCAATCAGACAAGAGAGGGACTTTTAGGAAAAAATCTAAAAATCCATCTCTCCAATCTGATATTCAGTCCATCATTGTCTAGACTAAAGATAACTCTGGATGACATTCAGGATGGATTATAACACCTTCTAAATAATGACTTGCAATTTGTAAGATACAGTAGTCGTGTATATACTACACATAATGGACATGATCTTTATAGTTTCGCATTGCTAGAAATATGTAACCAGCCTATATTTTTTCTGCTGAAACTTTTTTTTTTGTTTTAATTACCTATGAGGAATGTTGTGCCTCATGCGTGGTTTGGATGAACTTCTCTGGGCAGAGGGAGCATCAACACTATGCACAGATCTCTTACTCTGTGGTGTGTAACAGAGCATAGACGTTTGTGGCTTGAGTGGCGTTCGGGGGACCCGGGGCGTCCCTGTATTATTCTTATCTAAAGTTCCACCTGCAAAAAAGAAATATGAATTTGTGCTGCAGTATATAAATTTAATGACTTAATGGTATCTTTCTATCCTTAATAACTAATCTGTATTTTTGTTAACCACATAAGCCATTTCTCACCAAGGTAGTGACCCAATGAAAGAAGCACATTCACCATCATTCACTCAGGAGCTGCTTTGCTATAGTGATCATCCAAATTGCAACATCTTTATCAAGGAGATTTATAGTGTACAAATAAATCTTGCTTATCACAAACTGCAACATCTCCTATATCAAGGTGATTTATAGTGTGCAAATAAATCCTGCTCATCACTGTCTTGTTGAATTTTATGCAATGTAATTTACAGACCAGTAAAGCAAATTTTTGTTTCTCTACATCAGTGAACCCTTTGAGGGTAGTGGTGGCCACACACAGCAGCAAGTAGGGGATGTGAACTTTAAAATGAAAATATAAACAACAGGCTTGAGGGATAATTTATACATTCATTGCTGCTACATTTAATGCTATAAAACATGAGTGATGGAGTGAATGAATGATGAAAGTTTTTATTTTTCGGGCCACCCTGCTTTGGTGGGAAACAGCTGATGAGCTAAAAACATGGCCTCACTGCCAAGCCGAAGAAATGCTTCCTTGGGTATAACAAGATTAGATATCTCGGACTGATCCTTTCTAATAACTCTTTGCAGCCTCTCCCCAGCAAGATCAAAGCTTTATTAGAATTTAAATTCCCCAAAACCAATAAAATAAAAACATAATAATAAATCTTTATTGTACATTACGGTATAAACAAGACACTTACAATTAGCCGTCCTGGCAACAATTTCCGCACGAGCCTTAGCAAGCTGCTCTCTGAGTTGTTTGTTAAGTATTCGTTCTCGAGCCAAAAGGTCCTCCAGCTCTCTGTACTGGTGAGGCATGGAAAACCCTGTGTTCTCCTTGTTCTCCTTTCCAAACAACTTGTCTTTAAAATTCTGCAAAATAAAGATAATTATTAATTCATGATTATTTTTTTCTGGCAAAATAATTATTAATGTAACTTTCTGGAAAAAAAATTATTATTAGAATTAAAACTAAGTGCTAAACCCACCAGGGTCATACAGTGCTGCTGGAAAAACAAAGATAATTAATGTATTATTTTTTATTTTTTTGCAAAATATAATTATTAATGATAATTGTTTTATTTTGTGGAAAAAGAAAAATAATTACTATTCTATTATTATTTTTATTGTTATATTCAGGGGAGAAATACAGCACCAGAGGAAAGGAAGATAACCAGGTTTAATTCAAGGAATAGAAAGCTAGCTGCAGTTCCTTGGATCAAGACCCCAGGATGCTTGGAGGATATTCTTGTCTTGTAGGGGTCATACAGTGCTGGGGGGGGAGGGGGATGTGAGGTAATCAGATTTGATCCAAGGGAGGAAGGAGTGGTCCACCTGCATGGATCAAGAGCCCCACACCAGTACACTCATAGCCTAAGTCCATCAAATATTTCTGTTGTGTGTTCATTATTATAATATTTATGGAAAATGCTAAACCTTTATGTAATATTCAGCACCTGAGCAATGGGATGTAGTCATGTCTAATCCAAAGAGAGGAGACCACTAACTCCTTGGATCAAGAGACCTTTACCCACCATCATGGTACTCTACTTCCCATGTATTTTGTGACCAAAACACCAGTACTTGCATTATTCAAAATTAATTTCTCTACTAATCTCTTCAAGTACTTTATTTGAACATCAGAAATTTAGTACCTCATCTAATTTTAACTCCTCTACCTCTAAACTAATTTTAACTTCACTCCTCAACCAATTTTCTCATTTCTACTGGCTCATGATATACAAAATTTTATTATTAACACATCAGCCATCTCCCACTAAGGCAGGGCAGCCCAAAAATGAACAACTTTCATCATCATTCAGTCCATTATTGTCTTGCCAGAGGCGCACTTACACGAGGGAGCACTAAATGGTATACAAAATACTGCTTCTAAAGCAACTATATTTCTTTCAATAACTTTGGTCTGCCTCCTCTCACTTCTCTCTCATAGTGTAATCCGTCGATATACTCTTTTATTATTTTCTTTTTCAACACAACATCCATCTCCTACAGATGCAGTGTGACCCGATAAAGAAGAAATAGTTTTTCTTTTTTTTTGCATTTAGTAAATTATATTATTACTGTATAATAAAGAATGGAAGTGTTAAGCTCACTAGAGTTATACACCATCTTATCCATCATTAACAACTTATTATATTTACAAAAATGTGATAAACTCTTATAGTTATTAGTAAAAAAATTTTCACATCTCAAAAAAAAAAAAAAAAAAATGCTGAATATATCTTTTTCTTTTCCCCTTTCACTTTATTTTACCCTAATTTTTGTTTAGACATACCAACCAATTCATTACTAATGATTATTTTTCCTCGTCTTTTGCTATGTCTATTTTTCCGATCTCGTTACAGATCCCATATATACTCAGCTCACAGCTATGCAACCTTCTCTTGTCCCCAAAACTTTTTCACAGTACAGTATTTACTGTAATTACTGCATATAGACCATTAACTAGTAGGTTGTCTAATGGGATCAAAATGGTGTTGTGCGTTTCTTTCTCCCATATCTGGGTTATTTGTGTATCGTTTCAGTCGTGGTATTGTACCTTCTTTTACTTTATTTACTTCTGTTCTCAGCATGCTTAAACTTTATTTAGTGCTTCACTTAGATTGTATAATAGTAATAATTGAGCTACATAATCAATTCAAGCACTAAACCTACACAACTCACAAATAACCCACACACAGTTTTTGTTTTTGGTATGTTTTATTAATACAATGGCCATTCTCCAACAAGGGTGGGGTGACCCAAAAAAAGAAAGAACACTTTCCATCATCATTTACTCCACTGCTGTCTTACCAGAGGTGTAACTGCAATGTATCTCTCCCCCTCCTTCAGAGTGCAGGTATTGTACTTCTTTTTAAACCTACACAAGTAATACAGCAAAAGAGAGACGAGGACCCTGCGGTTTGGAGGGTTGTCTGAACTGTGATGTCAGCGCCCTTCTGTCAAGACAGTGACTGAATGATGGTAAATGTGACTCCTTTCTTGTGTCGCTCTACCCTGGTAGGCAACAGATGGTGTTAAAAAAAAATCTGTCAACAATTTAATCAATAAAACTACATCAACATAAAACTATTGCATTAGTCTTCATTGTTTCATGATGGTTTACTCAGGCAGCGCATTATAATTCTCATTGCAGGGAAGCGCTAAACACGAAGGGGTCATTCAGTATCCAAGAAATGGGAGGTTACCAAGTTTGATCTGACGATGAGGGAAAACCAAATTCACTGGATCAAAAGCCCTTGAAGAGTCATTGTAGCCAAGCCTAAAAACTAACAAACAAAGTTGGGAAGACAATGTGGCAGTTAAACTCCTAGAATAAGTACTCATAACAATTAGCAAAATAAAAAAATATTAAGAGTTTATAGTGATTGTAAATAAATAAAATTTATTAATTAATGGAGGGAGAAAGAAATTACCTATTTGTTACTTATTACCTATTTGTAATTTTACCTATTTATAATTACCTATATATAGCTACAGAAGCAGAGCTATGATGTAGTATCCCATCTTCAGTAATTTTCATTACACAATTTTGAAATACAGTGGACCCCCGGTTTACGATCAGCTCCCAATGTGACCAATTATGTAAGTGTATTTATGTAAGTGCGTTTCTATGTGTATGTTTGGGGGTCTGAAATGGACTAATCTAATTCACAATATTCCTTATGGGAACAAATTCAGTCAGTACTGGCACCTGAACATACTTCTGGAATGAAAAAATATTGTAAACCAGGGGTCCACTGTAATTCCAATGGTGGCATCACATGCTACTATTATTAATTAATTTCATTGATCTTTCATTCTTTGAAGAAAAAACATCGTGTATCCCTTCATCTCCAGTCTTTTTCTAAATTAATAAGTGTCCTCTTGTTGTCTTTGTTGCTGGCAATATCTTCTTCAACCATTTTTAACTTTGTATGTGGTTATTGTGTCCTGTTTTTATCTATCAGCCAACATAGCTGAGTTTAATGTTAACAAAATTTCATCTTAACATGTTTTTCAACTCTGGTAGTCATTTGCAGCCTTTTATTGTATCTTGTGTAACTTATCTACATGTTTATTCAGGTGTGAGAAACAAGTTGCTACTGTATATTCTAGTTTTGGCCTAATATACATTGTGAATAACTGTTTCAACATTTCTGCAGCCATATATATAGTTTGTCAGTGTAGCACACAAGTTTTTCACAATTTATTTGTATCATCTTCCAGTGTTAATTTTTTGTTATTAATAACTTCTACATTTCTCTCTCTCCCTCTCCCTCTCTCTCTATAAATATATAAATATATATATATATACATTGTATATTCTTCGCATGGCTCAATTTCACTGTTTCATATCTTCCTCGTGGCATTTACATACATTAAATTCCATCATACACCCATTACACCATTCACTCAATTTATCGAAGGCATCCTGTAGTGATTTAGTCGTCTTTAATTTTTTATTTTACCTAAGACTTTTGCATCATCTGCAAGCATATTTACATCCATTACTTCTGGCAAGTCATTTATATAAATTAAAATCATTACTGAAGCACATACAGATCCCTGTAGCACCCCACTGGTTACATCCTCCCATGAGGATATTATCATCTCAAAGTTGTAATAAATTGCCTTTCATTCCTCCTATATATTTCAGTTTCCAAATTAGGTCTTTCATGGAATACTCTATCAAGAGCTTTCTTAGTCTAGAATCTAGATGAATACAAGAGTCACATCTATTTCTTGAACTATTTTTCTCACTTTCATCGTAAAAACTTAATAGATTTGATTAACTGTAGATGAATTCACAGACACAAAACTTAACTGTTTACCAGTTAGTCTTAAGTGTTCGCTCCTCAAGTATTTCAGACTTTGACTCTTGAAATCGTATTAACTCGACTGCAAACAAACCATGGTACGGGTGGGGTTAGAACCCATGGTGAGCGAGTTATAAAACTCCAGGCCAGTGAGAGCCAGCTGGGCAAGCTGGCTACAATATTCTCACATGTGTGTTATAACAAAATGTTTGGGATAATGGTGGAGAAAACAGAAAAAAATATGTTGTATGACTAAAGATTCTCAAGTGTGTAATGTGATGATATCATTCATTCACCTCACTTTACTAAGTTACGGTGTTACATGACTATAAGTCAAGTAACAAAGTAAGAACCAATTCCATAATAAATATTGTTTTCCCATCTTGCATTTGCACTTTAAAACACAGTCCTGCCTTCATGTAATAATGCCTTTATAAACGTTAATGTGTGTTATATTCAGGCAAATTATATATGAAGAGAATTATTATTTTTTTTTTTCAACAAGTCAGCCGTCTCCCACAAGATCTATACAGTGCTGCAGGGCAGGGAAGGATGTGAGGGATATTGGGTAGCAAGAGGGGAAAGATGATTAGTAGGTTATGGAGTACAGTGGGGCAGTGGATAGTGTAGGGGTAGAGGGTAGCAAGAGATTGAGGTAGAAAGGGCTGAGGGAAGTGCTAAAGGTATCATCATTATCAGAGTTTGTGGAGTAAATCAGTTGCTGCCAAAAACTCAATGATAGAGTCCGGATTAAAGGAGGGTCCATCAGCAAGAAGGGAAGGTAAAGAAAGAGCAGCAGAGTGGAGATGACGGAGGTAAATTATACGTGCTTGTTGATAGAGTGGGCAGTCCAACAGAATGTAGCTAACAGATAGTGAAACCTGACAATTATCACAGAAGAACAGGGCGCCTCTCCATGAGATACCCGTGAGTAAGACGAGTGTGGCCGACGTGAAGACATGAGAGAGTAGTCTCCCAACCTCGACAGTGATGACAAGAAGACGGCCAGTAACCTATACTTGATTTAATAGAATGAAGTTTGTTACAGAGCAG